TGTTGAAATTAACTTTGCTCTGAAACTTTCTTTTGGAACTTAAGTAGTGAATGAGAACGTCACAAACTCTCAAAGTCCATTCTATCCGAACCATAAGCTAAAGCTGGGATGTCAGTGGTAAGACTGCTGAGTGGGAAGGCAGGTAGTTTGGAAGGGATAGGGCTGGGGATCCAACAGCTAACCTGTCTATAGGTTGTTCCCTGAGAAGAGCCAATGTGGACTCCATCTCCATTAGGTCTGACTGTCAAGGAGATCCAGCAATGTGTGAGGGGGAAAGCAGCTGGATTTTTGGGCATAGCACGGTGCTGGGTCCAAGAGCTTGCATGGTTTGAAGCCCAAGTCCAGCCAGCAGCATATGGTCCAGAGAACTAGGGGCTGAGGGATACAGGGCAGGCAGTGTTTACCACTGAGTGATTAGAGACTGATTGGAAACTTGCAATACTCTCAGCAGACCGATGTGGCCTAGAGAAATTGCTTAGTGTCAGAGAAGGGAGTAGGATTTGAAAAAAGAAGCACTAAGCTCATTGAACTTTCCTTTTCAAGTATCAAGTTGATTTTTCACCACATATTTATTGGGTGGCATATGGCAGGCACTGTGCTAGGCACTGGGAGTATAAAAGTGATAATTGTAGACACGAAGTTCATAGTCTTGTGGAGGAGTAACGCCCAACATACATTATGTGTAGTTACAAATTCTGAAAAGTACTCTAAAAGTAAATTACAGGGAAGAGTAAGAGAGTGTAACAGGACAATCTAGACCAGGGAAGTTTCTTAGAAGGTAATGATGTTTGAGTTGAAGGATTCCAAGGAAAAAGGCTAGCATGGAGGTGGGTTGAAGGTCCAAATCATGGGGGGTGTGTAGGCAAGCTTGGGTTTTTATCCTAAATCAGTGGAAACCATGAAGGTGTATTAAGGAGGATTCTGATATGAACAGGTTAAGTGACAACATGGGGAATGAACTACAGAGCATCCAAAATACAATTATCTAGAAAAAGCTCAGAGCCCCTTGATCCAGTGTAGGCAGTAGAGATGGCATAACATGGACAGAAATTGAGATTTCTTTGAGAGGTAAAAAGTTTTAGTATCTGTACATCACATGTTTGTTTGTTTTTTCCATATATTTTATTTATTTTTTTTACAGAGAGGAAGGGAGAGGGATTGAATTAGAAACACCTGATAAGAAAGAAACATTGATCAGCTGCCCCCTGCACACCCCCTACTGGGGATGTGCCCGCAACCAAGGTACATGCCCTTTACAGGAATTGAACCTGGGACCCTTCAGTGCATAGGCCAACACTCTATCCACTGAGCCAAACCAGTTAGGGCATCAGATGTTTTTTTTGGAGAGATTGTAAGGCAAAGGGAGATACTGAGAAGGATGTAGATTTGGGGTCTGCATACCTGGATGGATGGCCTTGTCAGTAGATCAGGACTTTTGGAGAAGGGCCTGGTCTGTGGGAAGGTTTGGCACCTGGGGGTTTTGAAGTGTCTTCCAGACATGTGAGTAGTGAGTGATCTAGTAAAGCTCTGAGGTAAGAGTGAGTTGAAGATAAACATCTGGGACTTGATGGTATCTAGATGGAAAGGGAAATCACAGATGAAGATGACCTTACATTGGGAGAGTATACTGTGAGAAGAGCAGAAAGCTGGGACCAAGTATCCAACTGTGTTGAAGACAATAAACTGGCAAAGAAAACTAACAAAGAACGTTAAGAGAAGAAACAAATGATTCAGGAAAAGGTAATAGGTAAACAAACTGAAACCTCAAAAGGGCCAATTCAGTGTAGTAGCAGGGAGATTATTGGTCATTTCAGTGAAAACACAGTACATTCTAGGACTTACAGAAACGACCTAAATCATTAATGTAGGGGTTTTTATTCAACCTAGTAAGCAGGTAGAAAACCAGTGTAGTGACCCTGAGTGGCACTGGAGATGATAAGGTATGGTGAAATGTAGAGTCAAAAGGAAATGGGAAGAGATTAGGGAATTTATAGGCACACTAGAGGCCTGGTGCCCGAATTCATGCATGGGTGGGGTCTGGTGGCCTGCCTGCCCTGATAGGGCCTGATTGGGCTGGCTGGAGGGGAGGGGCTTCAGGTGGTTGGTGGGCTGTCCCTGTCCCCTAGTAGAACTCCCAGTCAAGAGGACAATTTGCATATTAGCCATATATTATATACTAGAAGCCCTGTGCATGAATTTGTGCACATTGAAAAGAAATTAATTAAAAAAAATATTTTAGAGGCCAGGGAGGGACTAAGGGAGGTTGGTTCCAGGGTGTGTCTAGCCCATCTTGCTCAGTCCCAATTGGCCAGACCCCAGCAGCAAGCTAACCAACTGGTCAGAGCATCTGCCCCTGGTGGTCAGTGCATGTCATAGCTAGAGGTTGAACAGCCTTAGCATATCATTCATATAACAACTAGACACAGCATATTAAACTTTTAATATATAGGACTAGAGTCCCAGTGCACAAAATTCATGCACAAGGCGGGGGTGGGGTGGGGAGGGGTGTCCTTCAGCCCAGCCTGCACCCTCTCCAATCCAGGACTCCTCTGGGGATGTTTGACTGACAGTTTAGGCCCGATTGGGCATCGCTCTCACAATCTGGGATGGCTGGCTTCTAACCATGCACTTGCCTATCTGCCTGATTAACCCTAACCACTTGGCATGCCTACCTGATTGTCCCTAACTGTGTCTGCCTGCCTGCCTGGTCACCTCTAATGGCTTTTGCCTACCTGCCTAATGCCCTTAACTGCTCCTCTACTGGTCTGATTGCCCCTAACTGCTCTCCCCTGCTAGCCTGATCACCCCTAACCACCTCTGCCTTGGCCCCTGCCACCATGGCTTTGTCCAGAAGGACATCAAAAAAACTCCTGGTCTATCCAGTATAGCATGTTACCCTTTTATTAGTATAGATGATATACATAGCCCATGGGCATAGGCAATAGTCTGGTGAAGGCCTGGGGATGGAGGTGGTGAGTGCAGGTTGGAGGGGGTCAATGGCAGGGGAAAGGGGACATTGGTAACACTTTCAACACTAAAGTTACAATTTTAAAAATAAAGGATAAAAAAAGAAAAGGAAATGGTGATTTTACTAGTGGGGTTTCAAATATAATGGTGTACCACAAACAGGTGGTGTTTTAAAAGTATCATGGTACTCATGCAATTGTTTTTAATGAATCTGTTGCTTCTCGTGCCTTTAATTATGAAACTGATAGTAACACATTTATTATATTCTTGGGAATAAAGAGAAATGCATTATTGCAGGCAGATAGTTTGAATCACCACCACATCATGATTTATAGCTAAAGTATAATGTCATCTATGGATAAAAGCTATTTAGAGATGTGTAAAAATGGCATAAAAATAGTGAGTAGGTTGTAACATTAGCAAATTTGACCAGGTAATAAAAAAATTAAGTAGACTAATTATAATTATTTAGAAGCTATAAAACCTGTCAATTCACACAATATCACATCATTAACTATGTAACTCATGGGTAAATACAAACCTGAGTAAACTTTAAATTCTGGCTTTCTCTCATTAACCATGTGACTTTGTGCAAACTACTTCCCTTTTCTGTGCCTCAGTTTCCTTATCTGTAAAATGGAGGTGATAATGGAAGCTATGTTTCAGGAACATTGTTAGTTTTAAATGAGATGATCTATGTATATCACTTAGAACACCTAGCATTTAGAAGGTATATCATAAACTTAGTTATTATGTCATTATTATTCTGTGATAAAAAAAATTCTTTAAACTTTTGTAAACTTTATCAGATACACAGCATTGGAATTAGTAAGCCAAAGTGTAAACATCATCATTTTGGATTTTTTAGTTGATGCAAGTCATCTTTTAAAATAAAATGATACTTGAACTAATTTTCAGCCATAACAATGGTATAGACAAACCCATAAAAATACCAAAATACTTATATATGGGTTAGTAAACAACTTCTGGATGAGCCCCTCCTCCAGCCCCCTCCCCCCTTTAATCCTGCCCCTTCCTGGGAACCCTCAGACTCCCCCAGAGTGCAGAAGCATCTCCAGGATCGTGTGCACCTTTGTGAATTGAGTTTGCTATGATGGGTCAGGGCCACACCAAGTCAGCTATTAATTAACTTGGACTTTGCTAATATGACTTCTGACTAAAAATGTCATTACTCATATTTTTCAGTAAATGCTCACCAGTGTTGCTTCCTGTTGTTATCCAAACTCTCTACTTATTTGCTAGATATATATAAAAAAATGCTTTGCAATTTAATTCCCATTTTTCTGATTATTAGCGAGTTGAACACTTATTTACATATGCTTATCAGCCATTTGCAACTCCTGCTTATGTAAATTTCATGCTAGTCATTTTGCCCATTTTTCCATTGGCAGCCTTCATCTTCTTCTTAGTGATTTACAGGTATTATCTTTAAAAATTCAAGAGATTAACTCATTTTATCTATATATTTACTATAAGTGTAGTTCATAGTTTTCTTGCCTGTTACTTTCCCCCAGTGAAGTTTACTTTCAAATATCAAGAGGATTACATTTCTATCATTGCTTTAAAAGTTTATAAATATAAAAGTTTATGCTTATAAAGTTTCCCTCTACGCTAGAGGTCAGAAAAAAAAAACCAACAACATTAAATTATGTCTTCTAGTTTTATGTTTTTAATATTGTGTCATATCCATGAAACTCGCCAATCCACCTGTAATCAATCTTGGTGTCTGAGAGAAATAAGGTCAATGCTCTCTGTTTTGAATCAGCCTGTTTCCCCTCCTCCACTGACTTAGATGCATCCTTTATTTTACATGTCTTTTGGCTTATGCTATGTCTATTTTAACACTTTCTTTTGGAAAAAGAAAGGCTCTCTCATGTTAATATTTCTCCTTTTAAATGTTATTCAGTGTCTTTGGTTTCTGACCAACACAACGCCTCTACGTTCTTTGTGAAAGTTGCTGGGTCAGTGAGGGCCAGCGCAGCTCTCTGGTGCCATCAGAGTTGCTGGGACAGGCCGGTTCACAGCAGAGCCAATCATTACTTGAAAACAGCAACCATTTGCCAGGGCTTTGTGTGCCGGCTTGTTGAATTGGGACCAGAATACTTTCTTAGAGAAAATGGGGTGAGAAAATTCATTCATCAACTCTGAGTCATAGACATGTATTGTAGATGGGGCATAGTCTAATCCAGACTATAAATTTGTGCTTTCAGGAAAATAACTTTACAAAAAGACACAAAGAGTATGAATTTTCAAGGATTGACTTTCATTGAATTCATAGAAGAAAGACCCTCTGAGTGAAAGGGATTCTTGGATCACAAAAGAAATTTAATTACTTCTTCAAGCTCTAATGACAGTACTTTTCTGTAATTTTAAAAATAATCTGGGTGAACTTCCCTTTTTGCTTCACTATCAAAGTGAGGCAGCCAGCAGGGAGAGTCCAGTGGGGAAACAAGTATCGCTTTGTTCTACTTTGGACCTTCAGCAATTCCGAAGGCTATAAAATACACCTTAGGCTGTAAAGTGTCCTCACTGGTATCATTGCATGTTGCCTTTGTACCAGCCCAAAACTATGTACTTTCAATTGCTTACTTTCTAACATACTCTACATTGAAAGGTCTACATCATAATTTGTTTTTCTCTTCTGTCTCATAACAGTGGCTCTCCAGCTGAGACCAACCTGATGGAGCAAATTTCAAATAAACTTGGAGTAATAGACCGGGCAAAATGAGTGCATATAAAAATTACAGAGAAGATTGTATAAATATCATGAGAACTTTATTAATTTACTATGACACATTTTACTATTAATATAATATATATCAATATAATTTACTATTAATATAATATTCAATAGTAATTAATATATAACTGATAAAAATGATTACTTTTCAAATTAATGTCACATGAGTTACTCTTACAATGGTGTGATTCTATAGCTTATATCTTACAAGGTAGCTTACTGTGTATTAATCGAAGAAGACCTAGCATTTTAAGTACAGCAAACTTACAATGAGAAATCCATTTTATGGTTTCTTTTGTTGGAGAAGAATTCATATTACAGCGTGTATCACTGGCAACTTATTTCCTACCTGGTCTACATGAAAAGAATCAACATTTAAATTTCAAACCTTCTTTTCGAGTTGATGCTAAATTATGTGACTCTGTTGATGTGTCAGGGATTTTGTTGTGCTGTGTGTTTTTATTTGTTAGCCTATCATTTTAAAAGAAACCTTAAGCACGTAGCATTTAAACAAATACATAAGTCTGTCAGTGTTTTCAAAAGTGCTGTAGCATTTCAAAGAGAAAAGCATTGTTCTTTACGTTGCCCAATATAGCAGTGAAAAGTAGGGCAGGTTGATTCAGCCTAAGACTCCGAAGCTGCACTGTCATGTCACCTAGCGTTTAAAAGCTCTTAATTTACATTTTCTGAAAAAAAAAAAATTATAGACCCAGATATCTTTGAACCAGCAAGACTGTTCATTACAGGAAGTTATTATTTTTATCAGCCTGTTCGTTTCTGAAGTCTCTTGGCAACACTACAAGAATAGCTTTCCCTTGTTAATAAAGAACAATCTGCAAAAACAAATTAGAAATGTGTTAAGGACAAAATAAACAGACACTTTATTTTTTAAACTTGGGGGCCTCTGAATTTCACAGACTTCTGGAATCTAGGGAGCTCCACCCAACTGTTACGCGTTTTATTGCTCTGTTATAGGTTTGGCATGAGAAGAATAGTTTTCCAACTGTTGAAACAATGCAGATTCACATTTTTCCAGAAGGAAAAAAAAAAAAAAAAGCTCTATCTTACATATTAAATTCCAAATAGAGAAACAGTGTCTGTATCACTCTTCCCATTTTATGATGGAATTTGAGAACTAAAGGGAAAATTACATATATGAAAATGGTATATCTAAGTGGAGTTGAAACCTACATCTGGTGAAAGAATTTTCACATCAGTGGAGAAAAGTCAATTCACAGAGCACAGCTCCCATGTTGTGAAATCCCACTTAAAACAGTCACTGGAGGCCAGTCACCTGGGATTTGCTGAAATAACTCCTGTCTAGTTCTCACTATTACATGTTACACACACACACACACACACACTGCTGGCTGCTAAAGAGAGCTTTGGTGTAATGCTCGCTGAGCAATAGTTCTTTGAATTCTTTCTCAGTCTAATAGTTCCTTCTAGGTGATTAGAGAGGAATGATTGGCTTGATTGCCATTGCAACCAACACACCTGTTTGGGTGGGGTGGGGAAAGGCTAATTTGCTAACTTTTATTTAAAATATGGAATGACAATTTTTTTATATAGATACAAAAGGGTGGTATAAATAATGTGAAACAGAAAGTAATTATTCATGTTCTCTCTCCTCCACCACACCCCCCGCCAGGAAATAGGCAGACTTTTATTAATAAATTGACTCAATTGGAACTGAAGTGGGGCTTAGGCACCACGGTGAAGCTGTTCATATTTCATCCTCAGACTGCAGGCATGGTGCTGGAGCAAAGTGAGGGCAGTGGAGGCAGAGGGGTGAGTGACTGGGAGGCTTACCTGGTGCGTGGGCAACATCACCACACCAAGATGCACCGAGCACGCAGATACTTGCATCTGTGAGAATCAGAGCCAGGGAGAACAGTGCCTGTGCTTTTCTGATGGTTCTTATCACTTTTTTTCCAGACATGAATAGTGTTGCTCCTCTTTGTTACAGTCGTCATGTTCACACCCGGATGACATACATAGTTGCTGAAATATCAGCTTAGAAAACTGTTTTCTGTGGCTTGTCCTCTCTACTTCCTGATGCCTGCATTTCTTCTCATCCTCACATCCTGGGCTGGCTGCTCCTTTGCTCTCATCTTTCCCTCTCCCTGCTTCCCTCCTTCCCCAGTGCTGACATTCCTCCTCTCTCAGTCTCTCTGCCCCTCTCTTCCCAGTCCAGGGGAAGCTTTGTCGGAGTCTCTGCAGGAGCCCAAGCCAGTTCAGCCCAGGACTGCACCTGCAGCTCTCTGATGCAGGTGACAGGTCGCAGGATCCAGTGTAACTGGAGTTAAGGGCAGTTCGGTGAGATTTGTGACTTCTGTGCCGGGAGAGGCAGGCAAAGCTGATATCACAGTGTTGGGAACAAAGTATCTCAAGGGACCATTGTTTCAGCCCAGGGCTTTCAGAGGGTAAGGTATCACTACCCCCAAGAGGCAGCTGAGGTCTTGAGAGGTTAAGTGATCTGCTCCAAATCTCACAGCTAAGGAATGGTGGAGAGCTGTGTGTGTGTGTGTGTGTGTGTGTGTGTGTGTGTGTGTGTGACAGACAAACTAGAATGTTGGTAGCTTCCTGCTAGAACTGACTCCTCCCCTCCCCCCCCTCCAATGTGGAGGAATTTTTAAATACACAAAAGTACAAAGAATAATATAACAATAACCTGTATTCTTCCCACCCACGTTGAAAACTGTTAAAATATTTTGCAATGTTTGCTGCATGTCTCTTTTAAAAAATCTACATTCTTTAAAAAAATCACCACTTGGGAAAGATGTATTTATATTCTTGGGAGGGCAGGTGGCAAAAAAAACACACACACACCAAAAAAACAACACCTTATAAAGAAAGAAAAAAATGCATTAATTCTCAAGAAAGAGGCAGAAAGGAAAGACAGTACACCCTGTAGATAACACCTGTGCTCCCTTTGACCACCTCACTGCAGGCTCATTTCCTTCCTTCCGTCTTCGGAGACTGCACTGCACAGCCAGCCTGAGCCTGGTGAGAATCCTTCCTACTGAGAGCCACATGCAGCATCCAGTATTGCCTTACATGTGCCCCCGTGTCCTATTTTATGACACTTGAACTTTCTCCCCTAAGATCCTATGCTGAGGTGAAACTCACATACACTTAGTTCATGCATTTGGTCAGAATGGTGTGCACAGACCACATTTTAGTTAAATAGTCCCCTCCATGTGTTTATTGACAATTTGGGCTTTTCCATTGTTCCTCAAAACCATATCACAGTAAACACTCAGGGATGTGCCTCCTGGGCATGGCTGTCTCCCTTGGGATGGACGTTTGCATGGGTCCTGCATATTTTCACTTATCCCAAGTGGCTGTAGCAGGTATTTTCCTACCAATTTAAAAGGGGCATTCAATGTCCATAAATTCTTCCCGCTACTCAATGGTTTTAGATTTTTTAGTTTTCTAAGAGCTGACTGAAATACTGCTCATCATTTCACTGTGCAAGGAAAAGAAGCCAGGTTAGTGTCTAGAACACTTCGGCATACGAGGAAATGTAACTGTGAGAGGACCCCAGGAGAAGACAGCATGACTTCACTCTGCCAAAACTCTGAGTTAATGCAGAGGGTCTGGAGAGCTATTATTTTACTACTTTTTTGCCATCTTTGTGCATTTTTGTCACGTTGGTGATTTAGCTCTTTTATGTTAAAGATGTGCTATAGAGTGATTAGCCTTATATGAAGAAGTATTGGAAAAATAAAAATTCTATGTAGAACATATTTGAATTCTTTATCACATGTCAACTGCTTGATTATATAGATAGAAAAACCCAAACCCTTAAAGTTTAAATGACTTAGCCAAGATCTCTCAGAAAGGTTCAAAAAAACAACAACAAATTACAGGGAAAAAAATTGATCACAAAGCACTGAAATAAAATGAAACATATTGGGATTTCATCTCATGAGGTCTCCTCATGATTTTATACCCAGCATATGCCATGTCTTACAGTTTTTATCTGCGCTACAGGCGGAACCTGGATTATAGAAGATCCTAACTAAATATTAGTTGAGTTAATAAATAAGCCAAAAGAGGAAGTATATAAAAATCTCTTGGTGTGTACACGGGTTGAAAGATGTCCTCTGAAGATAAAAAATATTGTCTCATAGGAAACCATATACTCAACCTCTCCCTCCAATTCCTACCCTTTTTTGAGAATCTTATGGAACAGTTTTATGAATAAAAACAGGAGGCATGTGGTATTAACATCATTTGGGATATGGGTGGGTAGACTATTTAAATTTTGTGATGATATCATCACTCACATGTCTAATATACCACAGGACAAATTGTATTAGTTTTTTATAGAAATTGCTGTGAAGATGTAAGAGCAATATCTTGTCTAATCATTTGCCAATGGGATGAAATCTAGAACATTAAGCAAAAATTAGTAATTAAATGAGGCCATTTTGAGTGAAATAAATGATTAACTTTATGGATTAAAAGAATTGTTTTTCAGACAAAAATGCCAAGACTTAAGAGTGTCACTTATGTGTGTGAGAATGTCTGACTGCTTACATGCAGAGAGGCAACAAAGAGAGTTATTTCATGAGCTTTAGTAGGATGGGTTTATACTGAAACCAAGAAGTATGTCAGTGAATGTGAAATTAACAAGGAATGAATAGATTCCAAGGAAAAGAGGCGTGGCCTGCGGTTTGAGAACCAGACAGTCTTCTGCTAAATGCCTCCGGTCCTAATGCAAAGAAAGCGACAATTTACCTTGTTATCTCCTCCAGGCTCCCTGGCCATGATTCACTCGGATGGAGTCAGTGAGCAAGCGTTTGCACCACGGTCCTCCATCAAAAGTCAAGCTCTGGAAGAGGAAATGAAGACTAACTTTCCCATATTTGGAGGTAGCATTTGGCAAGATGGCGTAATACCTCTCTCCGAGGAGCTGTGAGCTTTTCACTAATCACGGTTATTACTCACCGGCAGGCCAACGCCTCCACCGGCACAGGGACCCCTTTTACCTTGCTGGAGGTTTCTTTTATGATAGAGCACTTATGTGTCACATAAAGCACGCACCAAACACTTTATAATGGTTATTTACTGCTGTTCATAGCAAACTTAAGAACGCGGCAGCCCTGCCCTGCCCTTTAAACCTCAGGAAGCAGCTGCTCTTGACACCGGGACCTGCCTTCCGAAGGCTCCTCTCGAAATCTCTGGCTGGGGTACTGTGTAATCTAAATCAAAGTTCAAGTTTAGAAGTCGCCGTGGTCAGAAAGGGGAATAGATCATTTAGCTGTCTTTTGTACTTTTAGGATTATGATGACAGCAGATGTGTAAGAAAAGAAAATGCCTTTAAAATGAAAGGCTGTCTTTGACTCTGCCAATGTCTCTTAGCTCGAAAATAAATAAAAAGGTATTAAAAGGAAAGACAAATATACAAATACAAAAAAAAAATTTTCATTGAAATTTATTTTCCAAGCTCTCTGTTGAGTACAATACTATGGGGAACAACATTTTATACTTAAAGAGATTCAAATTATAAACAGAAATACCTAACGTAGTCTATGCCTCTTAAAGCTAATTCTTTTTTTTTTTTTTTTTTTAGCATTTAAAATATATACCACATTTGTAGCATAAGATTTATTAAAAATAGCATCAGGTCAATGTTTTATGTGGAATAAACTGAATAAGGCAAATGCCTTAGTTATGTGTGAAAAGCATGTTTCAGGCCAGGCCATGGAGGAAATGTATTCGGTTAGTTTAAAATGTTGCTGATTTTTAATTTATATGTTAAAGAAAACGATGCTTATGATTTCAGAAAGCATGGGGGGTAGTTTTTGGAGCAGAATTCTGGGAGAACTGGCACATACATGAGTCATTTTAAGCTAGACTAGACTTTATGTTCATGAACATTCCCTGGGGAATTGCTCACAAATGACAATGAGTGAGATATCCTAGAAGAACCTTTTTCCATTTGTGGGGCTATTTCTCCTGCTTCCTGTCCTAATTTTTCAGTCCTCTGGTTGCAAAAGAAACCCCACCGTGTACTTGCTTTGTCGCTTCATATTTTATGAAATGTGTACATTACACAATGAAATAGTATTTGTTTTTAAGAAAGCAGATGGGGTTGATACACAAAAACAGATATTAAAAAAAACATACCAATTGTCAATTGATTTGAATAATTTTATTGAGGATATTCTACTTCATTTGAATAAGGAGGCAGTCTGAAATTTGCTGGCACTCCTCTTTTCCAGAATCTCAAGTGAAAGAAGTGCACATAAAATATTAAAATCCTCATATAAATGACTTAATACATGTGGAAGAAAAATTCAATTTTTCACGTAGTCATTTTTACTTCATAAAATAATAACTATTGGCAAAACAGAAATCTTTGCTCATTTTTTCCCCCTAATGATATATGATGAACTTTTTGAAATGTAAAGTACTTAGCGAGTCATTTATTAGTGGTGGACCTGATTATATATTTTTCAAACAATTGTTCCCAGGAGAAACACAAGTTCTGCCACTCAGGGCATGTTCCTCCCAACTATTGTATATATACATTTTTTTAATTTTAGAAACTACAACTGGCTTATACACTGTTATGCTGGTAATATTATTCTGCCAAGAGATAACAGCACTCCTATGGAGTATAAGTAGAGTTGACACATTTATGGCATATATTTATAGGCTCCCAGACAGAGTGCTTTGCCATCACAACAGTCAGAACCAGGAACAGAGCCCAAGAATTCCGCTTCCAGTCTCTTATTCTAACAATGTTTACCCCCCCACCCCTCCGGCCCCCCCCCCCCCCCCCCACACACACACACAAAAAAACCCATCTTACCTTGTCAGGAAGGGGCTTTGGCTCCAGGAAATTGCAAGGCTGTAATTTAACAAGAAAAAACAATAAAAGAAAGAAAAGAGGAAAATAAAAGTAAGGTAACTTTCATTCAAAACGCTTAGGGTTCTGATAGGACACGTTGCTTTTTCTGTTGAAGATTTCTGCTGAAGTGCAATGAAATTTTCCCTAGGTGCATAGAGAGAATCGCACTGTTTTCTCTCTCTCTTTCCCCTCCTCATGCAGCCCAACACTTACCCACTGATCCCGCACAGTTTGGTAATGGAAGGGGCAGGGTTCTTTCCAGAGGAGCAGGAAGTTTGTCTTGGAAGGGGTGAGTATTTTGGCTACAGGCAGCCAGTGCTGTCCGCTGCCCTGAGATTATGCACCCTCTGGATCACGGGTTAAAATACTCACACTTTGGCAGTGGGACATGTGGCCTTATTTGAGCAAGAAAAAATGTTTCTCCAAAATAGCTCAAAAAAATCATGTAAAAACTTGTTTTTCCTGGTGCTACAAACATTCAGATTCCTGCATGATCTGCTTCTGTATTGAGACTGTCATTAAAGAAAGGAAGGTGTTACTGTGCTGGGAGAAGGAACTTTGATCTCGTGTTGCTCTTCGGCTTTTGGAGTTCATCAAAATCAATCCAATTTCAGATCTGTCTTTGCACAGGTGTGCATAGCTGTTATTACCTTTCCCAGGACTGTGAAGTCCTCACTGAGCGGGCAGAAGATGCCTTAGCCCCACTGTTTCCTCCCAGATGCAGTCAGCTTTTGGTTTTGTCCCTGAGAATCTTGTTCCTGTTTCTTTCCTAGGCTATAAAAGTTGAAGTTACCAAATCGACTTTTTGGCACTTTTCCTTTTGAAATGTGTGTGTGTGTGTGTGTATGTGTGTGAGTGATTTTTTATTTTGTTTGTATCATTGATGAAAGATAGGATGTTTTTGTCAGTATAGGATGCCCCAAGCCACATTCTCAATAGTATGTGATATCGCTTGTTGTGATATAAAAGAGATGAGGACCTATAGTTCTAATCCATTACTTGGACAATTGTGTTATTTTTTACCCGAGTCAGCCAGTGAATCAGTTATTTCGGCAACAATGATAATAAATCACCCTGATGTCAAGGGCCTTGGGACTCAGTCCTGGGGCCTCTTCTCTTAGTCTCCATTTATCCCTTCCGTGACTTCGCTCAGTCTCCTGTCCTGCTGACCGTTTGTATGCCAAAGATGCCCAAATTTATAGCCCGAGTTCAGAACGCTCTGGAATTACAGGCTCATATATTCAATGACTTATGATATATTCTTGACTTAAAAGCCTGAGAGAGATTTAATTCTCAGCAAGTCCAACTTCTGACTTGCTTTCCAAATATGCTCCATGGCAGACAGACTTCCTCTTCTTAGTGAACCAACACCAACTCCAATCTTCCAGGTGCTCTGGCTAAAATTTTGGAGTCATCCTTGTCTACTCTCTTTTCCTTCAGACTGTGAGGAGAGACTGTTGATTTCATCCCAACAGCTTTCCAGAATCCCACTGCCTCTCTTATCTCACCTGGATTACTATCATGGGCTACTCACCACCCTCCCTGCTCTTGTTCCCGCCCCTCCCATCTCATCTTTTTTTTTTTTTTTTTTTAATATACAATATATTTTATTGATTTTTTACAGAGAGGAAGGGAGAGGGATATAGACCTAGAAACATCAATGAGAGAGGAACATCGACCAACTGGCTCCTGCACACCCCCTACTAGGGATGTGCCCACAACCAATGTACATGCCCTTGACCAGAATCGAACCTGGGACCTCTCAGTCCACAGGCCAACGCTCTATCCACTGAGCCAAACCGGTTTCGGCATGCCATCTCATCTTAATCCTACAGCCAAAATTGTCCTTGTAAAGTATGGGTCAGATTATGTCATGCGTGACTCTGCTTACACACTTGCATTGTTTTCCGTTTGAGTCAGAAATAAAAGCCACATGGTTGTAAGGTCTGATAAGACCCTCCATGATCAGACTCCCCACAGCTTGTCCCAGGCTTTTTCTCTTAGCTCATCTCCTGCAACTTCTCCCCTCGTTACTTTGCCACCAGGTCCTTCCTGCAGTTCTTGGATGGTACAAGGTTTTCCTTGGTGCATTTTGCACTGGTTGTTCTCTCTTCCTGTAAATATCTCCATGGCTAATTTCCTCCTTTCCATCATTTTTGCTCAAAGTCTCCATGATAATGAGTTCTATCCTGAGATTCCTCTTTAAAATGCACCCTCAATCCCACAGTCTCCATTACCTGCTGAACCTATTTTTCTTTCAAAACTATTATATAATTTACTCATTCATTATTTTTGTGTATATTATCACTTTTTCTTGCCTTCCACACACCCATGTAAGATGCACAGGTAGAGATCTTTATCAGTTTTATTCAGAAGTATCTTAGACACATAGAATAGTGCATGGCACACAGAGATGCTTAATAATATTTTCTTGAATGAATGGCATCTTTAAAGTTAAAGAAATGCAACAGAAAATAATATCTATGCCCTTATAATGCTAGAAAACTAATGGACAAAGAGGGGAAAACCAAATGAAGAATCGTAAGAGCAAAATCCATAGAACTTGTAATTAGCCAGAGGACTAAGAGCCATGAAAGAGAAGAGAGGCATTAAGAATGAGCATATTCAAGAAAGACCCCAGATAGTATTTAACTCACTGCTCTGTTTGCAGGTAAGGAAGCCTTGCTAGAGTCAGGCAGCAGCTAGATCCCTAAGAATCCCTTGTAAACCTAATGCTAATGTTAATAGAGTGGGGATGACTGAGAGACCTGCTGCCCAGTTCTCTCACCCCTGAGCCTTTATGAGGCTGTTTCTTGTACTTTGATGCCCTTCACCGAGCTGACTTGGACTTCTCCTTCAGGCCTTTGTGTTCATATCACTTTCTGGGGCTCCTTCCCAAACCTCCCCCTTACCCCTGGGACTGGTTTCCTCAGCTTGGTGCTCCATGGTACTTTACTTTCTCATTAGGTTAGCTTTTGAAGTCTTTCTTCCTGACCAGCCTGAAAATTCCTCAGGGCAAGGAGTATCTTTGTCCTGTTTCCAGACTGTATCCTAACACCCAGCAGCCAAGGAATGTTTGTGGGATGAATGACTTGTCAACCGCACCCTAATCCAGGCTATGTTAGCAATTATCATTGACAGAGAACCTGGGATTCAACACTGACAGGACTCTGACTTCCCAGTCAGACTGTCTCCCCGTCCCATTGCAACTAATACCCTTGTTCACAGAGGGATGCCTGACTCATTAGAAATACTTTGGAGAAGAGAAAGGAGTCTGAGAACTCCAGTCCCCTCACTTTATGTAATTAGTCATTTGGCACATGTTGAGGGCTTGGTGGGATACAACATTTTATAACTCTTTCTTGCTTATAAAGAGCTCAAAGCTTGGTTGGGGGAAAGCACAGTAAAACTTACTTAAAATATTGAAACAAGCAGTATGAGAGAAATGTATTACTGAGACCACAGCAGCCCTGCACTTGGGTGGAAGGTTCAAGGACTGTCTTACAGAGTGCATTTGGCACGTAAGTAAGCGAAGCCATACATCTGGAGCAGGGCTCTGCACAGTAGGGCCCATGGGTCAAATCTGGCCCCCTGCCTATGTGTGTGTGGCCTGGGAAATAAACATTGTTTTTGTATATTTAAATGGGGGGGATAATATTTTATGACACAAAAATTATATGAAATTCGAATTTCAGAATCCACAAATACATTTTACTGGAACACAGCATGCTCATTCATTTAGGTGCAACTATATGGTTATAGTTCTAAAGCTGAAAATATTCACTATTTCCCCCTTTTACAGGAAAAAAAACAAAAAACTTTGAGCACTGAGTTAGAGAAAACAGCATGTACAAAGCTCTTTCTGCAAGCTATTCAGCTTGATTAGACTGTAATGGATATGTGTGTATGTGTGTGTGTGGTAGAGGGTGTGCATATGTGAAAGGGGGTGGGGTATGTCACGAAATGAGGTTGCAGAGAGAGAGACAGGGTGCAATCTTGAATGAATTTTGCACAGCATGCTATAGTTCTGTGCCTCCCCTGCAGACAGTGGATGCTAACACAGCGAGTTCAGCAGGAGAGTGACCCACTAAGACCCCTGTACCAGTGAGCCAACTGCTGGGTCACTTGCATTTGTGTGGGTGGCTTAGTGGACAGAGATTGCGAGACTTCAGTACACGTGATAATTAATCCTGCCATTGTTATTAAATGATCCCATTTTTTTATGTCTATACCCAAACTGTAGTCAACCTTTGGTACTTTTCCCCCCTCTATCCTTTCAAGAAATTCTTTAGAAACTGTTATCTTAATCATGAAGATTATACCATGCATGTTAGGAGGACATATGTGGAGTCTTCATGGGGAAAAAATGCTACATTTAAGTTACAACAGAGTTGTAATGCACAATCTTTTTGTTTTTGTTTGTTTGTTTCTAGAGCTATTTGCTGAGAATTCCCAGCCCATTATCATGGAACAATATTTCTCCCTCTTTCCTCAAGGATTCCGTACACTTCAAAGAAGACTTGTAGGCAGCTGGCAGGAGGACTAAGTTCCGGATGGGAATGTTATTTGCATTCACTCTGCTCACCTCCAGAAATGCTCACATTTTAAAAATTCAGCTTCATGCTCCCTTTGAGGTGTGTAGTGTATACTTCAGAGAGTACACCTCATAAATGGGGCCCCCAGCATTGTGGGCTTCTTCAATTTTATCCTTACAACAGCAAAAATCACAAGCAAACTTTATGCTTATGAATAGCTGGGGCATTAGCATTTCTAGAACAGAATTTGTATCTTTTTCTAAGAACAACCTTTTTCTTGCTTTTGATAATTTTGTAAGATTTGACTACTGTCATTTTAAGGAAGTGTCCATGTTAATTGACTTCAGTGAAATATAGTTTCTCCTTCCTATATGAGTTCTACTGGGTCAGAGAAAACGAAAGGTCAAGTTTTAAAATATCATTTGTGTTGTTTTTGATAATAATTTTCTCTTCATTTATTTTTTACTTGTTTCAAACATGACAGGGTTAGTAATGACAAAGCACTAATTAAAAAGAAATTAAACCATGTTTTAAAATAATCTTTATTATTAAAATTATATGAAAATATTCTGTAAGTTACAAAAGCAATGACACTCTTGTTTTCTAACATCAAATAAGTTATAGATACTGTTCACATTGATTCATTTATATTTTTTAGAATATGTCTCTGAGGGTTCAAAGACCTTCTATACCTGTTACCATTATCTGCAAAATATCATGCTTCTAATATGTAGCCTCTTCTTGTCTATTATATAGTTGTATATGTACTAGTAATGTCAGTTACATTTTGCTTGGGTATGAAGGAGCAATATGGTCACCTGGTCTTAAATAATAGCAAAGCAGTTAGAAGATATAGGCAGAGTAATGGTAAAGTACATGGCATTTTAATACTGTTTAACTTTTATATTTATAGAATTATCACTTAGAAATAAAAATGAAATTATGAACTGCACAATGTTAGTATTGGTAAATTGAATAGGTAAGACTCTATTGATTGGAAATTATAGAAAACCTAATTCAAATTAGCTTAAGCAAAAGAGGAATGGAACCACTGGCTCATTTAACTCAGCCTTTCAGTACTGGCTAGATGCAGGGGCTCAAAAGACATAAACAGTTTCACCCTTTTTTCTGTTTCCATCCATTGATTTCACTTCTGGGATCATGAGATGGCAACCAGCAGATTCTACATTATGTCATGTCATTCTTTCTTATGGGAAAGAACAAGAGTCTCCTCAGTATTTCCAATCACAACTCTCATTGATAGTCACTATTTCTGGTGAGGGATGGCAATGTGCTAATGGCTTGGGGTGGGCCATGTGCTCACAGTGATCTTGAAGCAAGTAGACTAAGGCAAGTAGACTAAGGGTAGTGAAAATTTCTAGAGAAAAATCCAGTGCTATCAGTGGAAGATGTAGGATGTTCAGGAGAGTATGTACATACTAAGGAGATTTTTTTTTGTGTGTGTGTGTGTGGGGGGGGGTCATCTTCTAGTTCAGGGATCACATTTAGGTTAGCAAAGAATGTGGCTGATAGGATCAAGAATTTTTTCTTAGAGAAAGTTAGTATTTGGTGTTTGCCTCCTCTGTTCAAAGGGTGGGGCAGAGGAAGGTTATCCCTGGTTTTCTGCTTACTGAGCAGCAGTCTAAGGGAAGCACCTGAAATCTAGACTGTGAGAGGCTGTGGCTACTAACCTGGAGGAAAGTCTAGCCTGGGTAAAAGATCGGATTTCATAAGGGACACTGATCCCAGAAGATCTAGAAAATAGAATGGTTAGAAGGTGGACTCATTAGAAGCCCAGGAAAACTTGGGAAGTTGATTGGTTAGTTTGAAAGGGCACCTGATCTGTTCCAAACCAGAGATGATATAATCAATCTAACAAAGAAGCTCTTTTTCTCTCTTGCTCAGTTACACGCTAACAGGTCCTGGCCCTATTGGCTCACACATTCTCTCTCCATAGCAACCGTGCAGCCCTAGTAGCCACCTCTGGCCCAGCAGATGTGAGGACCAAATGTGAGCACAACACCAGCCAGGAATAGACTACATTGGCAAAGATGGGGAAACACATTTGGGATTGATGTAAGACTGGATTTTTTTTTACATAGTGGGACAGATGAAGATGAGACATCAGCACCTGGGGGCCAGCCTTCTATTTCCATCCAAAATAAATCTTACTATGGCACAATCTTCCATACGTGGGTCCCTGGATTGCTTTCTTTGTGATCCCATGAAGGAACAAGATTTCCACTGGCAAGATCACTATCATGACATTCTTAATTTTTAACAAGAAAGCCTGCATTTTCATTTTGCACTGAGCCCTGTGTTGTCAGTCCTGATGATTAAAAGACTAGAGTTCAGCCACAGGGAAGGAACTAGCTTGTGGGTCATTGTCACAGGGATTCTTTCGGGAAGCTCTTACTGTGACCTGAAAGAGCTTGGAGGAATATTACCGATGCAGAAACTCAAGGGTGTCTTAAGTAACAGCCAGAGAACGACTTTTGATTTCATTAAAGGGACTATACAGAAAACAAGATCTTCATGTGGGAAGGTGTCTCAGAAGGACTCACAATGCATTCAAGGAGCTTAGAAGATGCTCAAAGCCCAGAGAACACTGGTGACTGATTGGAACCTTTTCTGTCCATTGTTCTCTCCTCCCTCCCCAGCACACTCCCACCCAGGAAGAACTGGAGACAGTGCAGTGGGGATGAAGGTAGGATAGTTTAAAAAAAGAAGAAGAAAAGTACATTCCTGTAAATCATAGCAATAATTTTACACAGAAGATAGCTTTCTTGGTCTTGTTTTGGACAGTAAAACAAGAACTTAAAAAAGCCTTCACACCATAGCTGGTTTATCTCCATGGAGAGAGCATCAATGAAGGGTCCAGGGTTTAACTGCAGCCAAGGGCACATGCCCGGGTTGGGTTGTAGGCTTGATTCCCAGGATGGGGCATGCAGGAGGCAGCCAATCAATGATTCTCTCTCATCATTGGTGTTTCTATCTCTCTCCCTTCCTCTCAATCTATCATCTATCTATCTATCTATCTATCTATCTATCTATCAATCATCTATCTATCTATATCTATCATCTAAAAAGTAAGTAAGTTTATTTTGAAAAAAAAGTTATTGATTTCATAGAGTAATGGAGAGGGAGAAAGAGATAGAAACATCAATAATGAGAAAGATTCATTGATTGGCTGCCTCCTGAACACCTCTTACTGGGTGTCCCTGAAACCCAAACTTGTGCCTTGATTGGGAATTGAACCACAATCTCCTAGTTCATAGGTTATTGCTCAGTCACTGAGCCATGTCAGCTGGACACTTCATGAGTAAGTTTTTACTAACACCATAAAATAAATTATATGTAAATATTGGGGGGAAAAAGCTTTATAAAGATGTGGCTTCCAAAATAAGTCTTTTTATGGTGATCCTGGGGATTGGGTAGGGAAGGAAAACCCACCATGCTTGCAATTTGGTGATAATTGGATCACAGTTGTGGTAGTATATCCTATCAGGGTCATAGCTATGTTGTTCAAGAGAGGAAATTAAAAGTACTAACCAGAAAGTCACTCAAAGTACAGTAAGGTCATGAAAGAAACTAATAACAAGGAAATTCACAGTTTAAACCAACCTTCCCTCCTTGAACTCAAAGGAAAATCTATAGGAGGCTGTTAGGAAGACACCCTAGTGGGCCCAGGTACTGGAAGTCAACCTTAACTCTACATTTCCTTGTTTTCATTAGTTTGAGTTACAAACTGAGCATTTTTTGAATGCCCTTTTGATAAATGAACTTCCAAAGTGAACTTGTGTTTTTCTTAGGAGTTCCATGGTAAGAGAACTTCTGTAATCAGTAATCACCCATTTTATTTCTTTTTGTGTGTGTCTAATTTCACAATGAAAGACAAACTTATCCATTATCTCATAATTACCTATCTTGTCCTGTAGAACAATACTTTCTTTGTGGAACAAAACATTCTTCTAAGGATTTAGTGGAACTGGTTGAGCAGGTTCCCCTCAATAGCAGAAACCAACTCCAACAGTAGCTCTCAGATGGAATTTCAAGCATTCTTGTTCACATAAGAGTAAGCAAACATTGAATATGTGACCAGCATGCTTTTTATTATGAACATTCAAAAGTAGCATGAAATCGCTGTCTGAGAATAAAACAAAAACACCTCAGGTACTTAGTGACCAGAGAAGACAGAGAAACCCAGAGCTGGAAATTTTAGGAAAGAATCTAACTGCTGGAGTCTGCAGCCCATATAACTACAAGTTCATCTCACCTGCAGTTTCACAGAAACCCGGAGGTTTGCCTGTGAGCAACTGAGCTTGAGATTTTGGCTCTATTTTACTAAACAGTATGTCAATAAATAAATAAATAACAAAATGACTGAAAAATTACATTTTAAAACATATATTTTTATTGATTTCAGGAAGGAGATAAGAGAGAGAGAGAGAGAGAGAGAGAGAGAGAGAGAGAGAGAGAGAGAGAGAAAGAGAGAGAGAGAGAGAGGGAGAGAGAGAGAGAGAGAGAGAGAGAGAGAGAGAGAGAGAGAGAGAGAGACATCAATGATGAGAGAGAATCATTGATTACCTGCCTTCTGCACACATCCATTGGAGAAAAAGCCCACAACTTGGACATATGCTTTGACCATGGAATCAACCAGTGACCTCAGAGTTCAATGCTCAACAATTGAACCATGCCAGCTGGGCGCTTTCCCCCCCCCCCCCCCCCCCCCAATTACCCATTTTATTCTTTTGTCTTCACTGACATCAATGACATTGAGGAAGAATTGTCCCTATGTTATAATACTCTACCTTTAAAATTATACTTTTTTTACTATTAAAAGAAAAATAAAGGCACAGTTAGATAAAAGGCAAAAGTTTAAGGAAAAATTCCTCATCTTTTTTTAATGTAAAAATAACATTTGATCAATATCATTAAATGTTGGTAACTCTTATCCCTGAAGCCTCTTCCAAGTAAACAGTCCTACCAGGATATCACTTTTCTGTAGCAACATGCTTAGGAAAAAACAGCTTCTAAGCCAAGTAAGAAATTATAGCACCCAAATATTTGCATAGGTAAACATTTTTGAATTCATAGTCTACATACATGCTAAAGTCCTTGGTGTTTACATAAATATGTTTGTGATTAGTGTTCAAGTTTGTGTTGGACAGATGTGTAAAACCCTCAATTAGAAATGGGGTGTTAGGAGACAAAAGTAGCAATAAGGAGAATATTGTTCAGTTAGCACTTATAATGATGCTCAGCTCTTAAAATGAAATTATATAAAACCAAAGGCCCCGAGACAACAGAATTTACAATTTTAATTTTATCTCTCCTCAGATTAATACCCTAAATTTGTCAGGATCACTTGCTTTGGCAGCTGGGGAGCCACTGGCTAAGTCACAGGGTAAAAGGTGCACCATCCTGGGGGGTCATGATGATTTCTTTTTTTTCTCTCCAGGGTTGGCAGCCTCATCCAGACTTGTCATGTGACATCAAGTCTAAGCCATCCTAGTAAATGCTCATGCAGTAAATTAAAACAGCAGTATACAGACACATCTAATTATGCCCAACTCACCCTAAAAAAATCCCAAGATCTAAATATTGGGAGATTATAAGGAC